GATGTTACAATTAAACTCCGCCCTTCGGTCTGATTAGGAATGAACAATTGAGATCGGGGCGGGTGGGTGGGGCTTAATGTTTTTTTTCTCTGTGTACGTAGTTTTCTTCCAACAATTTATAAGATATAATAAAAAAACAAAGTCTAAAAGTCTAAAAATGGAATTGAAAAGTTGAAAAATGAAAATTTAAACTTGAAAACTTGTGAAAGTTTAATTTGAAAAACTGCAAAATCTAAAAATTTAATGAGTTCATATAGAAACATTGAAGAAAGAAAAAAAGAAAACTTGAAAAATTGCAAACCAAAAATTGAAAAAACGAAGAATTATAAAATCGGAACATTGGAAAATTGTAAAAATAAAGATACTAAAAAACTGAAACGAAAAATTAAAAATTGAAAACTTGAGAAACTCAAATTGAAAAATTGCAAAATCTAAAAATGGAATTGAAAAGTTGAAAAATGAAAATTTAAACTTGAAAACTTGTGAAAGTTTAATTTGAAAAACTGCAAAATCTAAAAATTTAATGAGTTCATATAGAAAAATTGAAGAAAGAAAAAAAGAAAACTTGAAAAATTGCAAACCAAAAATTGAAAAAACAAAAAATTATAAAATCGGAACATTGGAAAATTGTAAAAATAAAGATACTAAAAAACTGAAACGAAAAATTAAAAATTGAAAACTTGAGAAACAAATTGAAAAATTGCATCAAATTCAAAAATTGCAAAATCTAAAAATGGAATTGAAAAGTTGAAAAATGAAAATTTAAACTTGATAAACTAGAAATCGAAAAAATGAAGAAACAAAAAAATGAAAAATTTAAGTCAAATAAGCTGCGGGAGCGTTATTTACGCCATTGGTTTTTACTTTATAAAGTTTATCAGAAAACAAAAATAGCAAAAAAATGATAATTTTTCAGAGAAGTGGGATTCATTTGGCTGCACTTGAGGGGCGAGGAAAGTTCTGTTGAAATAACATTCGACCAATTTTTTAGGATAATAACCATAACAACCAGTAGTCATTAATTGAACCAAAAAAAGGCTTTAAATTATAAACAAAAACAAAACCAACAAATGAGAAATCCATTAAAGGATAACCAACTAAAGACTACATAGAATATGTTCGACCTTTTCGTAATATTTGCAAATTTTGATCATTATTTCTAAAAGTTAAGTGTCATCAGTACTTGCTAAGATAAAACTGATTTTGGCAATGCCGTATCTTCTAAAAAACGAGAGGGTGGGTGGGCGGGGCTAGTATCTGCTAAGAAAGACTGATTTTGGCAAATGACCTACTAAGAAAATGAAGGGTAGAGGATATATCGTTTGGCAAAATCAGTCTTATCATGGTAAGTATTGACCCCGCCCACCCACCCTCTCTTTTCTTGGAAGATATGTGATATGCCAAAATCAGTTTTATCTTAGCAAGTACTGTCCGCCCTTTATTTTCTTAAGAGGACTAGTACCTGCTACGACAAGATCGATTTTGGCAGAAGACATATCTTCTAAAAAAAACAGAGGGCGGGTGGGCGTTATTAGTACCTGCTAAAATAAGATCGATTTTGGCAGATGACATATCCTCTAAAAAAAGAGAGGGTGGGCGGGTGGGGCTAGTACTTGCTAAAATAAGACCGATTTTGACAAATGACATTGACTCTAAGTAAAAAGAGGGTGGGCGGCTGGGGCTAGTACCTGCTAAGATAAGACTGATTTCGGCAGATGACATATTCTCTAAAAAAGAGAGGGTGGGTGGGTGGGGTTAGTACTTGCTAGAATAAGATCGATTTTGGCAGATGACATACCCTCTAAGAAAAGAGAGGGTGGGTGGGCGGGGCTAGTACCTGCTAAGATAAGACTGATTTTAGCAAATGACTTATCCTCTGAGAAATTTAATTAAATTATTAAAAGAAAAGACACTATAGGCTCCAAAGCACTTTCAAATTCTTTCCAAGCAGGAATACCTAGAACCTCAAGATTGTTTTAATTTTTCAAAAAAAAACGAGGCCCAAAATTAACTCAAAAACAGGTCAGGTCAGAATTTTCCAAAAAGAAAACACCAAAGTCCCCCAAAATTTTTTCCAAGAGTCTCCCGAACTAAAAAAAACAAAAACACTGCGGCACTCAAGACTTTTTCAGATTCATAAAAAATGAAACACTAACTATATATATTATAACTCCACCAAAATGTGAGGATTTTTTTACTATGTTTCTCAGATTCACCCGTTGATTGTGAAGAGCGTAGCGTAGTTAATCCGCCATTTTCCAGACACCCGGTGTAGAAGTTTTGGAACTGAAATTTATTTATTCCTTTTCGGAAAAGTTATGACGTCAATTTAAAAAACGATTAAATAAATTCTGTTTTCTTATGCTTGAACAGCATCAAAATTAGATAAAACTGTATTCTTGTTTCAAAATATACAGGTTTTTGAGTCAAAATGAAGGGATTCTTTTACTTTAGGACCCCGAAAAAGAAGCCACATTTTAGACGGGAAACTAAATTTCATATTCATCGTATTTATTATAAAATCGAATTAAAAAAAACAGTTTAAAATCAAGTCGGATTCATAAACCACAAGTTTAGGAATATGTTATTTTATAAAATTTAGATAGCATTTACTATGCAAAATTTTTAGGTGGCGTCACCAAATTGTTGATAAATTTTGGTTAGTGTATTTTATTCTAGTTGGTGGTCGATTTAAGTTAATTATTTTTGGAATTTAAAATGATTTATTGACCAATCAATCGCGTAAACTAAGTTTCGCGTTACGAATTTAATGAGTGGAGCCTAAGAAGTTTCCAAACGACAAAAAAACGGGGTGAAATTTAAAATTGAAAAATGATCCCCTGTAGTGTTTATTAATTTTTATTAGTAATTTAAAATTTGGAAAGCAGCAGTTTGAAATTAAAATTGACCTATGCAGACTGGTTTATGATCATTCCATATAATTCCCCTTCTCATTTTTCCTTCATTAGCTGGTGTTATTTATAGCTTTTCCATATTGCTTTTGGCACGATTTAAGTTTCTGGACTGTACTGGGTTAAGCTTTAGTTTTATGTTTATAGTTTATATAAGATGTATCGTCGGCTACGATTGCGTTCTGCGATCAACTGTCAGAGGTAATTCTTAACAGACACGACAGCGAATCAGAAACGCTATGACATCTCCGAGATAATTTCATATTACTTGTAGTGTTTCCTTCAGTACAAAGGAAATTCAAAGCAAAGTCAAAATTCGAATATTTAATTAAAAAAATATTTGACTTGAAGAAATATTTGCGATCTCTAATTTTGGAATATTGTTGTTTTGATTTACACTGCGGATAAGACGGTTCGAAGATTCCCGAGAAACGACAAGTTATATTAAAAGTACACTTCTTGAAGGCAAGCTTTTCATTTATAAAGTACAGCTGTTTCGCGGAAAGATAAACAAAATTTCAGGGAGTTTCAGTTGCTAAAGTGTAAGCCGAGTTTAAATCTCTGTGTAAACTCATTATCAGTAACCGATTACGATTTTCTGTGTTACACGCAGCTTATCGCATTCGTATTTGCATAAATGACATCCGAGAGTTATATTTTAAAAAAGAACGCAGATTAAAATTTCACGTACGCATTTGAAAGTTTTAAATTTGGAAGAAATCGATAAAAGTAACGACGGAAATGTTCTAAAAATAATTTTTTTATGAGAAAAAAGTAATATAGCGGGTCGAGTATTCACGTTTTTCGTTGGCACTCAATTTGGCCAATTTCAGAAGTACGATATCGTTTTATATTTTGATGAACAATTCTCGTGGTAATTAACTGTCAGGTTGAAAATGGTTAAATTAATCAATTGTTTTTAACCTTCTACACAACAAGTTTTTCAAGTGCAACGAAACAAGTGCTCTACACCTTCCGTGACTGAAGTGTACATTTTATTTAGCTTGTTATCACCATCAAAGCGGAATTTTTCTTGCGGGCAGCTACAAATAGCAACGGCAGCAACAATTAACTACTTGCAAGCAACAATTTTTTAAAGACTTGTTTTATTTTTAGAAAATGTTTTAAATTTCTATTATTTTACCCCGTTTCAAGTAACATGTGTTGCATGTTTAAAACGAACCTTACCTTGATTGCTATAAACAATTTTAGTATAAATATTTACTTTTCTATTAAGACCATTGGTGCTAAATTGTAATTATGCAAAAAGTATTTCGTGGATTACATTTAATACAGCGAGCTTTTATTTACACAACCGTAAACAAATTGACGCAATTCTGTCTCATCTATTTGATTTTTGAATTCGATTCTGCCGCAGTCTTTAATTTAATTTAAAGATATGGAAGTAGGCAGAAGCAATATTTATAACGTTACTAAAACTGTCACTCCGGCTATATACGTATTTAGTCCCCGTCAAATAAATTTCCACTTTTTATACATGAGAAAATTCATTAATGTTCAGCTAAATAAGTTCTTAAATTTTAACAGCAGGGAATAAGGCTTATATACTTCAAAGCGAAGCACATTACTGCGTTAATATTTTACGTGGGTGTTCTACGTTTAACGCATTTCAGGTGAACGGACAAAACCATAAAACGAACCTTTCAACAGGTTTATAAGTAAATGTAGATGTACTAAACCTCATCTAAAACAAAATTAACCTAGCAGGAGACCTAATTTTTACACGGCGGTTGCGTCTTTATACACCCTTATAACAGCCACCAAAGAAATTTGAGATCGTGGGAGGCTATGTTTTGCTTATCATACTCCTGTCATATTTGTCTCATCGATTTAACAGCTTACGTTAAATATCGAACGTAGTGTAGTCAACTGCAAACCGTACAGATTATTTAAGTTGGTAAGAATAGTATTGATTAGACTTAGTTCACTCTCCCCAGGATGGTTGTTTCTATTTATTGAACATAATTTTTTTAAAAGCATACAACCTTACGGTTTGTTTTATTGACTACGCTGGACTTCATCCAGACCGAGAATCTGGCGTTAACAATAGTTGTTCTTATTTTTCAGATAAACGGCACATATCATACAAGTTGATGATGATACCGGATTGTAAGTATATCTTTATCTCGTATTTAATACTGCATGAAAGTACGCTTGATTCCTGATTCCTTTATAATTTCACTAGTTTTATCGATCTTATCTAGATACGAACAATAGTAGTCTTATTAATTTTTCAAGATACGGGTAACGTTCTAAGAATCGAATATCCACCTGTAACAAACGTCATTATTCATCATTTAAAATTAATTCGAATTCACAAATTAGTCTCGCATTCGAATAAAAAATCACAAATTCGGTCACCAACTGAAACTCAATCCAGTTTTTATTTATACAGTTAATAGATAGACTGCAAAAAGTGAATGAATTTAAATAATTCACGAGTCGATTGGCTGATAATGAAGATCAGTTAAATCCATCAGTTTTTAACTGGTTTTACGTTGTATTCATTGTCACAGCTTAAATTATTATCGGCACATGGTATACGTCATTGTATCGAGAGTTGCAAACGCTAAACGAAACAGGCAGTTCATAAAATATTACTCCCATTAGACGAAATAAAAAATGCAAAATAGGTAATTCGACGAATTTTCAGGTCCGGCAAGGTACGCCATCTTTTTTTTTATTTATTTATTTTGAAAACTCAAAAACGTGTACTAGTTTTTCTATTACGTGGTACGGTCGAGTGCTGTCCTCTGACGGACGCTCAGAGCACACCGCCGCGGAATGTCAATAATTTTGATAGATTTTACTATTTATGGACAATAGTGGGTCTGCAAACCATAGTGTCTTCCACGTTTCTGTAAAATACTTTGAGGTACGAAATGTCACTCACTTTTGTACTTTTGATTGTCAAAAAAAACTTATTACAGTAGTATATTTTTTATTGTGACGAATGACACACTTCCAAAATTGCTTAATTTTTATTATATGATCGTTTATTTTTTGTTTTTGTGGCGTAAAAATTGTAAATGAAAATTTCAAATTTGAATCGGTTGATGTACTTATTGTGGGGGTCGAACTGTACAAGAAATTGACATTAGAAGAAGTGTAGTTGAAAAATTTTGAAACAGTTTTCCAAAATTCGTCAAAAAATCTGGAATATAGATTTTGGCGTGCTAATTTCGAAAATATGGTCCCGAGGCAAGATCTTAGAAATATTCGGTTTGAAATGCATGTTTTTTTTTAATTCAAAAAAACTCCTATTTTAATGGGCAATTCTGGAAACATGGTAGGAGTTATGGAAAAAATGCGGCCGAATGTAACTTCTGGAGGTCTAAATTGACAAGAAAATGTCATTAGTTAAGTTTCCAAGATGGCCGATGTAACGTAAATGCATTGACGTTGTATCACTTCTGGTTGTTCCGAAAATGACATCAACTTTTATCAAATTCGGCATATTTTGAAGTGCGTTGAAAAAATTAGTTCTTCATTTTTTCGTTTTCGTTTGGTAAATTGCTTTAAAATTGCAATTACTTGAAAAGTTAACATTTTGAAACCTAGTAAATATACCTAACGTTGACACAAATAGTCTTAAATAGGTACATCCTAGTATTACATCGTTCCGGTTGCTACCAAAATAACATCATTCTTTTTATAAATGGAACAGAGTGCGTTTTCTAAATGCTTCAAATAGCGGGTTTTTTTCTTTTTTCACTGTTTCATGAAAGTGTAAGATCGGTGGACAATTGACGTTCCTTTAATTTCGTAAACATACATTTTATACATCTTGGTAAATAAGATTACGTATGTCATTTGCGGAAAAACCAGCAGAAATATATACAGAACATTTTGTTCGATTGAAAGACAAACTCACTCAAATCAAACTAATTTCTACGTGACATTATTTCGATATATAAACATAAATAAACACTAGAGCGTCAGATTGCTATTACCTAGTGTTGAAGGACAAGGTTTGTTAGAAATGGATTATTTTATATTCAACATGGTGAGTCATCAAAATCTGACAACGGACTGTCAGTCAGTAGCGTAACATTTACACTTCAGAAGGGGGTGGTTATTAAATTTATTTTAAAATTGCAAACAATAACACGCGGAAACATAAACTTAGTGAACTCGTTTCAACTGACTTAATATTGGTAGTACAAATAAACTGGGACACCTGGCATATACGTCCCAATAATTACAAAACATGTTCATTTTTAAATGTAATGATCAAAGACAAGTCTTCAAAAATCCATGGCTACCTTTGATCGTTTTCTCGACCTTTCATGACCCCTAGAGTACGAAGTACGTTCCCGTCTGTCTGTCTGTCTGTCTGTCTGTCTGTCCGTCTGTCTGTCCGTCTGTCTGCTGTCCCGGATTTTTATTAAGTAGAAAGTACTGGGCCGATTGTTGTCAAATTCGGTATTTATATTAGGAATATCATGTGAATGGTAAAACGCCAACCAAAATTTGTCTAATCATCCCCAAATTTGGAAAAAAATCAAAATTATAAAACAACATTTTGCAGTTTTTGGAGATGTTTTAAAGTTATCATGGTAAATTGTTAATCAAAATAAATCTGTTTATTCCCCCCAAAAAATTGATGGCCGGATAAATTCCGTCCAAAATGTGAGAAAATGTGAAAATACAACGTCTTTATTTAATAATAAGTATAATAATGATATTTAGAACATTTTGGTCGATTGTCGCTTACTACTTAACAGCTTTAATCCCCTGTTTTGAGGGGACGAACTCCGTCAAATCAAACTAATTTCTAACATAAACAGTTTCAAGTTGTTTTTCTTATCGAGGATAAGCTAAGTAATTGAGTCCGTCGGGCAATTTGGTACTTTCATATTTTGTCGATATTTCATAACCCCTAATGTGAATTACAACATCGAAAATCAAAATTAAAATGTGGTGTGTTATTCAATGAACGGAAGTCAGAGCAATAAAAAAATCTGAACCGTCTGTATTGTGATCCGATTATTGCAATGCGTAGGAAACATCTTCTAGTTTAGTTTAGTCTACAGCTTGACGAACGTTATCGCTATTTGCCTTAATGTACGAATATCATAATAAATGATTTTCGGTTCAGTTTTCAGTAGCACCGCTGTTATTACCAAGACGCGGAATATCTCATACTCTCGATCCAGTGCTGGGAAAAGGAGACTTCGTATATTAAGAAACAATGGACAAAATATATGCTCCACCCACGCTCCGGGTGGGTGGGGCTTAATTTTTGTTTGTTTTTTTTTTAATATACAGAGTTTTTTTTTAACAACAGGATAGTTAAATATGTTTTCAGTTTCTTGTTGGACAAAGAAGATTTCCTATATTAAGAAAAAATGGACGAAATACAAGTCCCCCCCCCCCCACCCACCCCTTCTCAATTGTGATGATTGTTTTATTCATCGTGAGCTGAAGGACGGAATTTAGCTGCAAAATCTTCATTCCTCTACAAGAAATTGTCATATGAAATTCATCACAATTGAGACATGGGTGGGTGGGTGGGGCTTAATCTTTAATGGTTTTTAAATATATAAAGTTTTGTTTTAAGAACAGCTAAACATGTTTTCAGGTTTTTTGTTGGAGAAAGAAGATTTCCTATATTAAGAAAAAATGAACGAAATATTATCCTTTTGGATTATATCAACATAATATAACATGTCAAGATCACGAATCTGTGGCGTTTTGTTTATTTGTAGTAATATAGAAGTAATTTTTTTAGCAAACGTAATCAGAGATATAATTCCGCGCACTGGTTATTACATACATAAATCACTATTCAAGACAATTCACTCAATTTTCCCCAAAATTTGAGAATACAGAGAGAACATTAGATACTTATTTTTATTTAAGCTTATAATGGTTGGCATAAAAAGCAATAAAATTCGCAAAATCATTTTTTTTTTAATTTTTCGAAAGATCTAGTTTCGACAAGGTGCTTAAATGTTAACGCATGTAATTTATGCGTATTTTGAAACGTTGAAAATAGCAAATTTTTATACTTTCAAAATTTCCACTCAAAACCGTGTTCATTGATGCAAAAATGATGGAATTATATATACCACGAAAATGGCTTTCAAGAGTTCGTTTATTATTAAGTTTTAATATTTTTTACCATCACAATTTGTTTAAAGTTTGTATTTTTATTTGCTTCAAAATTAGTAACAAAAACATTTAAACCAGTGTTTGATGACGTCATACCGTCGCCACAACAACCGATATAAATCCTATAGCACCGCTTTTCCATTTTATCTTCATTCTTACGTATAAATATTTTATGCCTGCTTACTGTTGTCGCCACCGATAGAGAAAACGACTTGTTTCCATATACCGAGGCGAGTAGTCGTTGCTCAGCATTAGTGTAAGACACTGTTCTCTAATAAAGTCACAACCGACACATGTACATATTTGTTTGCGCGTACATTAAAATTACACCTATCGAACGAAATTTTTCTCATTATCTGCTCTATATAAAAATTAGCCCAACCGCTCTAACGTTACAAAAATTTGAGTATATCTGCCTTTCAAAAATGGCAAGTAGCCAACACCAGCTTGTAGCAATGCCAACAAGTGGGCCGGACAAAACTAACAAACTCGATTTTTAACGGTTACAGCCTAAAGCGACTTTTAGCGAAATGAATCGTGAAAGCGTCGGACATTTTGACTCGCGTGCAAATTTTCGAAACATCAAAGAAATGAAAAAAACACCTCAAAATGACGACAAAGCAACTCCCTAAAACCCTTCCTCCTGGCAAATGGAACGTTCACACCGAAATGTATAAATTTCAGCAAAGTAGGTCATCAGACCGAGCGTGGCATGTCGTCAAGGGGACAAGGTGTAAAGCAAGGGCACCGTGCAAGGGTTGCCACTAAAAATAATTGTGCCCAATAGTATAGATTTGCGGCGAAATCAGCAACGGTATCTAGTCCGTATGAAGTTAACCTCGCTTTTAATGACATTCGTCTGACTTTTGTAATTATGGCGGGCTTTTGTTTTGCACAGCCGAGTGCTATTTCTTATTTGATAAACGTTTTGTTGTTTGATGTTTGGTAAATTCGAGGGTCCAACAACCGATAAGACGGATTAATTACGTTAA